GAGTGAGTAGAAAAGACAAATGGTGCAACAAACTTTATGTCCGTTTGGGTGGGGGTGGGGGGAATCAGCCGGACCTTCTGTATAACTAACAAAAATAAAACAGTATACCCGGTCGATAGTTTTAAAAAGTTCACTTCTCCCAGTGGGCCCTTTATTTGGTGGTAAATGACTTTTCTCCACATTACATGCTGGGGGTGTAAGAGGTTTTTTTTTTTTTTAAGTTGACTAGGTTATGTAGCGACAATGTAAAATATTTAAAGTCTTAGAAACATTATTTCTGACCAGCAGATGGGCCCAGCTTTAGTTTAAGTCTGCGAATGTAGCAACTGAATACCCTATATACATTTAACTATCCCATACCATCTTCTATAACCATTTTAGTTACCAGTACAATATAACCTGTCAGTTTAGCAACCATTTTATCTCTCCGCCTATGGATACGGACACAAACTATCCGCAACTTGTATCAGTCTCGAGTGTTTTGTATTACCTTTCGGTCGCCCTTCTAACTTCTAGTGTCAAGCTCCTATTTTTAAAAATAACTTTTTTTTTCATCAGAAACTCATCAAACGTTTAAAAAGGCAACGTTTAAAGTTTAAATGAACGCAACTCAATCCTTAGAGCAGACATAAAAACAATGAATTTGGAACCTGATTATCTAAATGTCAAGGATGCGCCAGTTTAGTAAACTAAAAAGTTAATTCACAGTATTTCTTTTTTGGAAATGTATTGTGAAATGTAGCTAGCATTTTTATTTCATTAAACAGGAACGATTAGAAAAACATGATAAAAACTTAATGCATTTATCGATTAGGAATTAAAGTTAGGGTTAATATCCTGTCCGCTAAGTGATTAAAGGTGAAAAGATATGTATAATAAACAGAAGGCTATACCCAAAGGTAGCTTCAGTAGACTTAATTAACCGAACAAGAAAAATCAGGACAGAATTGAGGAAGGATATTTTTACAACTTGTTGTATATAGCTATACACACATAATTCTATAATGTACTACTAAAAGTAGCGCTATAACTGTCACTTTTTACTACACTGTATTTACACAACATGCCTCACTCAACTTAAATGCGCAGAAATACTTCTTTTCTTTTTACTACTAAGACTTTTTTTTACCTTTTTTTTTTTACTGCTAAGACATTTTTTAAAAGCTGCAATGTCTTTGTCCATGAGTGGAACAATTTTTTCACTTGTTTGTGCGGCGAAGGATAAGAAACAAGCGAGAATGTGTAGAATTATTCAATTCTTTACGCACGATATGAAACCATGCTGGAAGCGAGACACGACGTGGGGAAAGACAAAGTAATTTACTGGGCTTCTTCATGGACGTCTTCCATTTAAAGGGCAGTGATCTTTTAAAATGTATTGTATAGAACAAAAAAGGTAAATAGAAAAACCATTTACTGTCATGAAATAATAGTATTGGAAGAAATGTGTTGACACTAGTGCAAAGGGACTTGAGCGATCATCGTAATATGTGTTAAACATTTCTACACTAGTCCTTGTTGGTTTCTATAGCAGGACCCAGTTATTTTATAACGTTTATTTATAACATTGTTTTTCAAGTTCAGCCATCCAGTAATTTCTTCCCTATTCCCGCCTCTCATTCCTGACGGGTTTATCGGCTAGTGCGATTACATTTTCTCAGCAATGTCACATAGTTTCGTATGTTTTTTAACGTAGAGGTCAAAAAAGAAAAGCAGCATAAACTGTGCAACATTTAGCAAGCGGATGAATACTTAATAACATTTGGATCTGCACTACTAAACACAACACATCAAATAGATAGAAGGGTAAATTCTTTAACAGAAAGATTTAATAAAATGCTAGATGATTCTAGAAACCAAAGACTTCTCGGGATCCAATACACAATGTCGGTTAAACAAAATATTTGCACCAGTATTTTTGGACCAGTAATAGATAGAAGAGATAAATACAACTATTCACAAAACTAGGTTACAGGTGGAGGGTATAGCATCAGTAGATTTGTATTTTAGCACTGATGAATGCAAAACAGGCTGTCCGTATTCAGGAACAATACAGTGTCCTAGTAGCTACAGTCAAACTTCATGGGGTATCAGTGACGACTAAGGAGACGAGTTGCCAAGCGTACTATTTTAACAGCTTGGCGGAGAACACGCTTCAAAGATGTAGCTTTAATGGCTGCTTAATTCTGGAGTCTAGCGTATCTAATGACCCACCTTCCTTTCATCAAAGAAAACCAAATTGATCACAATCTACATTATCTCTCATGACACTCTCTGCTTTTCTCTACATAATATATATATATATATATATATATATATATATATATATATATATATATATATATATATATATATATATAGTCACTCAAATATAACGTTAGTTGTAGTATATACTTTTTTTCAAGTTACCCGTTAAATGCATTGGCAAAATGATTTTCCTGCAATAATAACATTACAGAGTCAGTAAAGACGTAACAAAAATCTGCTTTTCAAATTCTAACACGAATACATTCCTTATTGCAACAAAATGCAGCAAGCAATGCAATGAATACCTTGCAAGAGTTTCTGCACGAGATGTAGTCTAGTTTACTACAGCAAGGAGCTGGTAGCCAACAAAACTAGGACAAGTTGTCTCCCTTAATCCTCTAAGAATGTAAACCTTCAAGACAAGAAATGCATATTTTTTCTCTCGTCTGCCTCTCTAATTAACAAGTCTGCGATTCATCCGTATTAGAACAAAAACTGACGTCCAGGAAGCGCTGGAGAAAAATTGCGCTGTGTCTCTGGGGACGGGGATCACAAGAGACTGGGCAGGGAATTCACTCATAATGCCGACACATTGTTTTATTTAATCGAACTCACTTCTCGCACTCCATTAATTCATAGAATCGATGTTTGGAATGACGTGGAAAGTGGAAGCACAGTTTATTTAAACACAGTGTGCAATAATTTTCTGTTTTTTTTTTGTCGCCAAAAAGAAGATGCATGAGAGATGACTGAAAGTATGGAAGAAGACGCAGGCCGCATAGTTATGTACGATAGTTTTGAGACCTACGTCATAATCAAAATTCAAATCGATTCTCGTTCGGTGTTGGCAGCCTGCTTTAAAGTCCATTAGTAAGCAGGATGTGTCTATTTTTAGTAATCCGTGAGAAAAGTGTTCCCTTCAGTGCACACAATGTAAGATGCTGACGGACAAAAACCAATACAAATACTGTGCCGATTTTTTATTATTAAAATATATTCCCGTTCATTTTTATTTTTACTTTGCACGTATATTAAAAAATGATTATATTTGAAGAGAAAATACAATGTTCTTTGAATAAGTATTTAAGTACAATGCATTAAATCTACATATGCAACATTGTAGTCTAAAATTGTGTTACGCACCCCAGAGATCTAGTAAGAGATAAATATGATAAGTGTGTGTCTGTGTCCTATCTTCCGCAACAAGCAGTAGCTTATACATAACTTATACACAAAGAGACTTTAGTATCCATGATATATGAAATACGATCACTCTTTTAAACAAAGAGATCACTTATTTTCGCAATCTTATTATCTATCAATCTTAGAATCAAGTTGAATCACGTGTTGTAGTAGACATTCTAGAACAGTAAAACAGTTCATTATAAAAGACCTACTCTCAGCCTTTCAAACATGTCCTCTCATCCCTAACATACCATACAAGTGAAAATAAAACCATATCATGACTTAATACCTAGGGATAAGTAAAAGAAGCTTGTGAGAATTGCGTGTGACTGTTTGAGGGTAAACACAATATGTTACTTCACACAGCATCGTTCAAACAATGTAAACACAAGCACAGCCGCACAGTATCGTTAATTTTTTTTCAACGATAATCCATTTAATCAATTTAAAACAAACAAAGCTAAACAGTGTATTATGTTACAATTATCAAACAGCGAAACCGTTTTAATAGAAGTAGAAACAGTGTAATGAAAATAGCTGTAGATGTGAATCGTGTATGTGATGCTTCGTGTTTGCTTTCCCTATATTAAAACGACCTGTACATCAAAGTAGGCCCATTAATAACAGGTTAAAAAACACTTGCTGTGGTACCACACCCGAAACTAGCCTATATGAGGATCTATGTTTAGGTGTCGAACTTTAGTCCACTTTCCTACAACACGAAAAAAAATTCTGCAGGAAAAAAACGTTCCGCCTATCGAGTAGTTCGGTCTTAGGAGTATCGGGTTTTGCATTCATACAAGTTCTTTCAAGCGGCTATAAAGTAGGCCAGTAATAAGGGCGCACCAAGGTCGAAGTTTTTAAAAATATAATTGCGGCTATGACATTTCACACACACGCCGACTTCCAAAAACGTAACCATGTTACTTACACGTGACCTTGCGGGTTAGCCAAATAAAATTGTTACACGTTGACCTCCTTAGGAGATATCGTATTACAAAGTACGCATGTATTGCACTGTATTGATAATTAAAAATAATGCGTTCACGTGATCGTTGGTGTGATTTATGTAAATTTTCTTTAGTTAAAACTAAGGCTTTATAAAACATAAACTATACACATCTATAGTTCTTTTTTTTTTTTTAATAGCTGATCAAACTAGCTGACAGCACACTGAGCTATGTACAAGGCATTCAATGCGGATGGCGGGATGTAAATGAATTTATAGATGGTGGGAGACTGAAGAGAAGGGGCGTTATTACGATACAAACTAATCCAAACATATAAAAACAAATTAAATCTGAGGTGTTAGAAAAGCAAACCAATTTAGCATTTGCCTATGACTAGGTAAAGAGTATTTGGAAAATTGTTTTAATTACTTCAAAACTGTTCAATTGGACCAATTTCAAAAATTCTTTTATTAGGTAAAATAGGTCAAATCTTTAATTAGACCTAGAATCTATATCAATTCCAGCATTGACAATAGATTAAAAAATATAAATGGGGGGGGGGGGGGAGATATAATGGATGTAATAGTTGCTTGAAAAAGAAAAATGTAGACTACTCACCCTTGCCCATAGTCTGATGAACTCTACTGATGCTCAGTGTCAACTTAGCGATTAGGTCTGAATGCTTTCTGTGCATACCTTTCTAGCAAGTCTGTAAGATGAGGCATTGCAAACATAGTCCATAGGAAAGGATCCATCAAGTTAATCCAAACTCAAGTTTTTTAATCCCTCACACATATGCAGTGGTTGATACATTTGGTAGTGAACAACTAGTCTGTGTAAGTTGAACTGTCACAGTGTTGTGGCTGACAACAAGAAATATTCACAACTTCGCATTGAATTTTCTGAGAAATATATTCAAACACAATGTAAGATAAAAGCTAAGTTCTATCAAATCTCTATTAAATTAGTGTAATTCACAAAACAACAAAATGTATAAGGAATATAATCGACTGGTGGTTTAGCCATAATACAGCAAAGTTTGTTTTTAGTTTAGAATTGATTTCTGGAGCAATACAAAATTATTATGTGGTTAAGTGACTAAATAAAGCTCTATATGTACTTCAATAATAAACTTTAATGTATTTAAATAATAAACTAGATGAACCCAAACAATATAATGTAATTTTTTTTTTAAATAAGGTACAGAATTTGATATTAAAACTTATAAAATAATAGTAGGCCTAATTACTTCTAAAATAAATAAATTGGTTTCCCCTGAACAAAATAAACCATTAACTCAAAACGTATGTAATCGGCTAATTGCTGTTTTAGATTTTTAAAAATTTAGTTTAAAAAACTAATACACTCATGACAAAATTGTATACTGAATACTCATACAAATATAATAGTAGTCTATAGGGCCTATCAAAGTTATAACTAACATTTCTGTTAACCTGTCTTAACATTAACAAATATAAGACTAAAAATATCTAAGCCTACTAAAACTAAATCTATATTGTTTGGGCACTGATTAACATAACTATCAACTTATTATTATGTAGCAAACTAAAGGCTATTTTTTTTTGTATATTCGTATTTTTAATTGTTATAAAAAAATTGCTTCACTTGTCTATTAACTATAATATGGCTACTGTCTGACTCGATCTACATCACTTAAATTTATTTTTTACAATCATTTTTCATTTAATGTTTAAGTAAAAATCAGCTTGCTACTTCGTTTGGAATAGATTTTTAGACTGATACTACAGATGAGATAGGCATCCACTACCATATGAGTACACAGTACACCTCACTTCACAATCTTCAATACAAAATCATTTTATAATGTCCAATCATATTTGTGATCTAGATCTAGATCTAGATATGGAGCTAGATTCTCTTGAGTCCTAGTATAGACCTAGGCAAGATCTAGAATCTACTAGATCTAGTCTTTTTTAGTTTTAGTAGAATCTAGTCATCTAGTCTAGTAATTAAATTAATTTAGAATTAAAGGTAGAATCTAGATCTAGAATAGATTAAGTAAGACTTAAGATAAGACTTAACTTTATGACTTTATGAAGAAAATACATCAGCTGCGTTTAGATTTTAGATGGTAGATTAGTAAGAAATTGATAAAGAAATTTATTTAGCCAACACTTTGGCTTAAGCCTAACATTGAACATGGTACACATTAACAACTAACTAATAAAAAACACTTAAAATTCTTAGAATCGCAACTGCTCGGCCTAGTTACCTTCTCTTCTGCAGCAGTCGAGTCACAGCCATACAGCAAACTAGCGAAATGTGTTTAAAATTTTATTTCTGTTGTGGTTAAAAGAAATAACATTGTTGATTTAAAGCCTATAAACAATTGTGATAAAACCTTTTTCATAAACTCACTATTACACCGCAAAAAGTCCTAAACCTAGAGCCATTAGTTCAGTAAAAATATTGTTAGTGTGGGCTAACTAGAACAGTAAGAACACACAACACGTCTTTCCTGCTAATGGCTGCCACGAAGACCTTGAACTTTTGAGGTCACATATTAAGCCGAATTCGCTCTGAGCGACTAGTGATGTTCAAGCAGTCGGGCTGTGCGCCTACTCGTCATTAACGGAAGCCTGTTGTTTTTATAACCATTTTAAAAAAACTTGGTGACGCAACTTTGATTTTTGAAATAGTGTTTATTCTCACGAAGCCATAGCCGAAAGGTTTATTATTATTTTTTATGTAAAAGCTTCGGCTTCTTTTAAAAAATGAAATATCTTTCTATACTTTTTATTTATTCCAAATGATAGGCTTAAAAGTAAGTGTAATAATTGAAAGGTAGATTCTTCATCCTATCTATAGATATTTTAACATAAGTATGATATAATAATAATAGGGGCATACTGAAAAGGGTTGGGTAAACCTAAAAGAGGGTTCAAGGGTTGTCCATAATAGATGAGGGACCTTTCCTAGAAATGTAACGTGGCATTTATTTTGCATCATTTTAAAGATAAAAAAAATATTTAAAAGACAACACATTTTAATTTAAACAAGTTATGATGATTTTATAGAAGGGTAAGAGGATAGAATTTGTTGACGTTAAGTAAATGGGGGGGGGGGGGGTTCTAGCTTGTTGGGACGACGTGTGACAAAAAGGAAAAAACGACTTGTGTCGAAAGGAAAAATAAGGAGGGGGGGGGGGGGGGTCGGCTAAAAAAAAAGACCAGCGTCCTTTATACGTTTATAGCCAGTCCCTTTAGGGTTTACGTTTCAATATTGCAGTGCAGTACCTGGCTGACCTAATCTCATACTCAGGGCCGGCGCTACCTATAAGGCGAACTAGGCGGTCGCCAAGGGAAGGAGTAAGGAGCAGTCACTAAGGGGACGCAAAAGGTTCAATCGCTATTATCAAAAAGTACCTAATAATTAATAACTTTTATAAAGGAGTAGCGATCTATTACAGCAGCCAGGACGAACTATCAATTTTGCAACCCCACCCAAAAATTAGGTCTATATAGGTCTATATTTATTCGTGATGGTGAAAATGCAACCCCACATCCCTAATTTGGAAAGGTCGGGGCGCTTTTTAACAGTCACTTTGCCTTTTTTATTTGGTGTCACATAATTGATGTAGAAAACGATTAAATAAGTTCGTTATTTAAATTTCGAACATTTCAAACGGTTATTTAATTTTAATAGGGCTTGTATGTCTCGTTTTATCTGACTTTGAATTAGAAATCTGTCCTGGTGTACAGAGTTTTGTATGACGGGGTGTTCAAAGTATTGTACTTGTTTGGTAAGTTTTGATGAATCGTTTAGATTTGGGAGTAACGGCGGAAGGCTGTTGCTGATATGGTTTCGTAGGTATAAAGTATCGAAGTGTTAAAGTGTCATAATTTTTATTCGGCTGTTTTGTAGTTGAAGATCTAGTGGAATCTGGTTGGTAATAGAGAAATGAGAATGCAGGCGATGACGTATCGTAGTTCTGGAGTTCGGGAGTATTGATTCTAGTTAAATCGTTGTGGATTGGGAGTACCGTTTGTAGAGCTTGGTTAAGTTAAACGAGTTGGTGTCGTAGTTCTGGAGGATCGAGTCTAGTTATGTTTGATATGTGTTGTAAATGTGTTAGAGCAGGGGTCGGCAACCTTTCGAAGCGGAAGAGCCAAAAGTTACAATTTTCAAAATTTCCCTGGTTTTAAAGAGCCACTGACAATTTTTTTATTCAAGTATTTTATTTTTTTATTAAGATTATTAGCATTTGTTCAAGGAGCTGGAGAGACGCATCTTGCCGACCCCTGGTCTAGGCTAGGACAGTTACCCGTGTTTGATTTTTTGAAAGTGTCCCTTTATTTGGGGGATAACATTTTTTGTTAAATGCGAATACATTAGAACGTGGTTGAATGTTTGTCATCGAACTTGAATAGAAGTATGTTATAATAAAGCTACCGTTTTTTCGACATTCAAACAAAAACTACAGTTAAGTATTCAATAGGTAAAATATATTGTTTTCATAAGATTGCATAGATAATACAAAAAATTTATTATAATTATTACGTAATGAATTTTAGATTGTTTTTTTTTTGTGTTTTTCAAGCATGTCTTAGTTACAGCTGGTTATTTGGCGATTCTTGGGAAAATTATTTCCCTTGAATAAAATTTTGGTAACGGCATTTTCAAATGGGAGATAATTCGTTGCTTATCTTTACATTCATTTCAAATTCCTGCACCTTAGTTTGACCGCTTACATATAAATACAAATTTAAGTTATTATTTGCTATTGTAAAAATTATATAGATCTAGAGCTTAAGTTCTAAACAAAATAGTTTGGTTGGTTTCTTTTAGCATTATCAAGTTGAAAAACAAATATATCAGAAGCCGTTACAGATTGCAATACTTAATGTAGTAGACATACAGTCTTATTCGTAAATTAAACATCTAATAATTTGTCTTTTCATATTTTTCACCCTCTCCTAAAGGTTTCATACATAACAATTTTAGGCTGTAATCTATATTATTTATAACCTTTTATTTTTCAAAAACCGAAAAATTGTTACATAATCACACAATACAGCAGAGGCGTAGCGAGGGGGGGGGGGGGTGGGGGGGGGGGGGCGGGGGGAGGACATATTTCCCCGGGCGCCGACCATAGGAGGGGGCGCTAAATTGAAAGTTTGAGGGGGGGTGCAAATGAAAAGTTCGAAGGGGGGGGGGGGTGCAAATCGAAAGTTTGTCCCCGGGCGCCGGGAAGGGTCGCTACGCTTCTGCAATATAGACATTTTACAATTATAACTAAAGACAGTCAAGCTTAAAACAGGTAAGTTCCGTCTTGGAACTCACCTTGGGAGGACTGCATAAAGCCCAACACTACAAGAACTTTTTTGATTCAGTGTTTTTTTTCCAGATTTTTTTTCTCCCGGAAGGGGGGAAGGGAAGCACTTACAATTTTCTAAGCGGGGGGGGGGGGGGGGGAGAGGGGGGGGGGGGGGAGGGGGGGGGGCTATGTTGTAAAGTACAAAGTAGACTCGTGCACTTAGCAACAATTTTAATAAAATTTGATTAAGCTTGCAAACTGGAATTGAAAGAATTTAGAAGGCAAGTAAAATTAGATTTTGATGTCTACTTATAACGTGTATGCAATTGATAATAAATTAATATGTCACTTTTATTTAATTGTTTTCTTATGCATATGTTTTAGTAATTAATTTGTGTGAAAGGTGGCGTCTTAATAAGTTTTTGCCTAGGGCTCGAGACAACCTGGCGCCGGCACTGCTCATACTATTATAAATAGTTCATCCACACTTTTCGCTTTATTTCGAAAGTAGGCTCCTGACTACTGCATAAGATCACCCCCCGTACCCGGATAGGCTATTTATCCTCGCGGGTTGAAATAGGCCTCTAGTCTAATTCAATAATGACATTAGCTAGAGAAGGCCAACGTAAGGATATGGTCATGGATACGGACAGAGGCGTAGCGAGGGGGGGGGGTGCGGACCGCACCGGGTGACACCATTTAGGGGGGTGACACCAAAGCAAAAAATAGCAAAATATATAGAGAAAAACTTGAGGGGAGGGGGTGCAAATCGAAAACTTGAGTGGGGGGGTGCTAATCGAAAGTTTGAGGGGGGGGGGTGCTACGCCTCTAAGGGGTGACACCATTAACTGCTGCACCGGGTGACACCCGACCTCGCTACGCCACTGGATACGGGTATGAGATAAAATATAATTCAATGTAAACGTGATTTTCTAAATAATTAAGCAAATATTCTATCGGTATTTAGAAAGGATAATTAAATTATAGATGAAAAACAGTCTTGTTTTCATGCGTTTTATTTCTTTCTTCTATACAGAGCATAGAGAAAGTATTATAATCGTGTACAAAAATAACATGAAATTTTGACAGTTTTCACCGATTTACACCTCAGTCCTTCTTCACATCTAGAGAATAGAGGACTTATTATAATCGGGCAAAAATTATAAATCCAGATATATCAAAATGTTGGCGTTAAATGCGTTATCAAGTAGGAAAAAACTGGACTTTGCAATTCCGTCCTTGTGTGTGTGTGTGTGTGTGTGTGTGTGTGTGTGTGTGTGTGTGTGTGTGTGTGTGTGTGTGTGTATGTGTATGTGTATGTGTATGTGTATGTGTATGTGTATGTGTATGTGTATGTGTATGTGTATGTGTATGTGTATGTGTATGTGTATGTGTATGTGTATGTGTATGTGTATGTGTATGTGTATGTGTATGTGTGTGTGTGTGTGTGTGTGCGTGTGTGTGTGTGTGTAAACACGATAACGTGAGTACCGTTACAGCTAGGTAGATGAAATTATATATATAAGTATTATATCAAATTTGTAGATCCGTATCAACTTTTCAGCGATTTCCGATAATCGGAAGTGGAACTTATTCTACTTTCGATTTTTCAAAAGCCTATAACTTGAGAACTTGTAAGTAAAATATCTAATTCTCTGCCTTTTGAGTAATATGGGAAAAAGCGTGACAAATTTGTGTTAGCTCCTTGAAACACCTTGAAACAGCCAATATGTTAGCTCTTCCAAATGCCACTACATTATGTATTAGCTCTCTAAAATGTCGAGTAAAATGTCACCACAGCTCAGTGAAATGCCATTACAACAGTTTATTAATTCTCAAAAATTTCACTATAACAGTGTATTAATTCTCCAAATGCCACTAAAACCATGTATTAATTCTCTAAAAGCCACTTCAACACTGTATGAATCCTCCAAATGTCATTACACCAATGTGGAGCAATGCACAGAAGAGCAAATAAAAAATTGTGTTGCTACTTTCAGACATTGGAAATAATTGTTTAAATACTGTGGTGAAAAAAACAGCTACCGGGGGGGGGGGGGGCGCTGACGAGCACAGATCTGATGCCTCTTACAAGACAGGCATAGCGGAGCCATGTGAATACATCCGCAATGCAGAAAACGTTCAAACAATCTGGAGAGGTCTGCTGGTCAAGCGAGAACAACCTAGATCAACAGGGTAGATAA